CCCCCCCCCCCCCCCCCCCCCCCCCCCCCTCCTCCTCCCCCCCCCCCTCAAAGTTCGATGATCCACCTGAAAATGCCACTTTTTCCGGAAATGTCTTGAGGTTGACGGACATTACGCGAAAACGAGGCTGAATTTCAAGGATTCTTCAGACGGATCTCTCAAGAAGTCTCTCAAGCGGCTTCTTGTCAGTTCTCACGAGAATCCTTCCACTCTCCTCGAAGCCTTTCGCTTTTTATTGCGGCCATTATCGAAAATGGGAGTCATTTTTTACAGTCGGGGTGGATTTTCTGCTCTCGCATGCCTAGAATACAGGATTTTTGTGCCTATTCCTTAGAGGGATGTTTCGAGAATCCAATGATCCCAAGAATTTTTGCTTCCTTCATAGGGGTTAGATGATGCGGGGATTTTAATGTCAATTTGCACAAAATATTGAATCCTCGGGCGCAGTTATTGTTGTAGGATTTTCCTCTTGACTCACACCCGCAAAACATCACTCGTTGGACATTAATGAAACGGGGTCAAAAAACATCACTAGGAATCTAATTTATCCGAAGCTGCGTGCAGTGAGCTCAAATGATCAAAATACGCACACATTCCACACAAGGGCTTCCTATTGTTATTGCTGTCAATATCTCTCGAAGAAAGGTGTCACCTTTCCAGATTTTTCCCATCGCCGAGATATGAAAAAAATGCGGAATAAGTTCCACTCCTGGACTAAAATCTTCAGAACGATTTTAAAAAAGAAAATTTCCAATTTTCGAGACGACAGCGAAAAACATTGTAACAAGTTTCAATTAAGGAATTGATTTTTCAGTTAGCCACATTTCCACATATGTATACATTTTCGTCCTCATATTGCGTACTGACGTGCATAATGGCATTGATTTTCTTGGTTTGCTCAAAATATATGGTTACAATCGGGGAATTGGAAAAGCATTCCTCCTGTCGAGAGGAAATATTTCCGATCTCAATAATTTCTTCACAAAACATCCTTAGGCATGTAGACAATTGAGGTACATCAGGATATGCAATTGTCGAGTCCATCGCGTTTCAAGGAAGTCTCATAGTGTGAAGCCACATGTCTTGCGTTTTCATGCCATTTGGCTGATGCATACCCTTTGAGATACTTTTGGGGTTGGATGCTGACAGAGAACCTTCTTAAAATATTTATTGGCCAATATGAAGAATCGCACTAGTAATCATCTCGATTGGGGAAAAGGTGGCTCATTGTCCCAAAATCAATATTATGGTGAGTCTTAGGGATTCTTAAGTAGAGATTGATGACCATGAATTAATTTATTGCGTTCATGAGGGGTTTCATGCATTGAGAAGGTCTGAAGGGGAAATATTCCATACCATAAGTTTTCTACGAGAACTAAGATTGAGCAGTTCGGCTGAACGCCAGCCACCTGGCACCTGCTCCAGCCACCTGGCACCTGCTCCACCCACCAAGGCAATCCTAGCATGTTACTGCCATTTTGATGTCATTTCTTTTGTGATTCCAAGGCGAGCAGCAGCATACCTATCCGGAATGCCTCGTGACGAAGAAAGGAAGGGACTATGTCGGAACGGTGAAGAACACGGAATCGGGAGAAAAGTGCCTGCCATGGAACGATCTGCCCTACGGGATACCAGATGACTTCTCCCCCACCGAAACCTACCAGTCCCATTTCCCCAACCGCGACGCCTGGTCCCATAACAACTTCTGCCGGAATCCTTCGGGGAGGGAGCGACCGTGGTGCTTCGTCTCCGACGCTTTCCTTCGTTGGGAATACTGCGACATCCCCATGTGCACACGCACGGGTAATCAAAACGTTGTGGTTTTGTGACGATATTTGATTAGTGGAAAATTATTCAGCATTCTCATTGTCCTTTAAGATTGCTACGGGATAGTTTCGTGGAGTTAGTAGATTTCAATCAAACCTGATTTTCGGAGCTGTACGGAACAATATTTATTAAACATCAGACTTCAAGCTAAATATTTGAGTTTTTTCATGTATATACCATGAAAGCGATTGGCTTCAGGATATTAATAAATCCTGCAAAAATTCTTAATAATAATAATAATTATCTTCCTTTTTTTGTTGGAACGTTGATCGATGGAAAATTGTCCCCTTCCTCTGGAAATTCTGACTCAATGCCCGTGCTTCTAAATAGAACCTCAAGAATGTAAGGTGACTCAACAGGGCGGGGAATACACGGGGAAGAAGAACGTAACTCATTCCGGTTTCCCATGCCTGCCGTGGGGGAATTTGCAGCCGATCAGAGACTTGAAGGACCCCTCGGTCCGATTCCCGGATTTTGATTCGCTTGATGAGGGGTTCAACTTCTGTCGGAATCCGAATGGGGACGCGGCTCCGTGGTGTTTTTATATGGAAGGAGTTTCGCTTGCGTGGGAATACTGCGATGTTCGATTTTGCGAAGGGCAAGGTCGAAGCGGGAAGAGAGAGGGGGAAAAGGCCGTGTATCCGGAATGCCGACTGTCGGAGAAGGGGAAGGAATACGTGGGGACGAAGAACGAGACCGAGACGGGAGAGCCGTGTCTCCATTGGGCGACAGAGCCATATGGCACGCCTTGGGATTTCTTCTCGTGTATCCGGAATGCCGACTGTCGGAGAAGGGGAAGGAATACGTGGGGACGAAGAACGAGACCGAGACGGGAGAGCCGTGTCTCTATTGGGCGACGGAGCCATACGGATCGTCGTGGGATTTCTTCAATCGGGGCGTGGAATATGCGCTGCACTTTCTCAATCTCGACCCGACGGTCAACAAGAGTTACTGCCGGAATCCGGGGCTGTACAGAGAAAGGCCTCAGAGCCATATGGCACGCCGTGGGATTTCTTCAATCGGGGCGTGGAATATGCGCTGCACTTTCTCAATCTCGACCCGACGGTCAACAAGAGTTACTGCCGGAATCCGGGGCTGTACAGAGAAAGGCCCTGGTGCTTCGTCTCAGACCCTAACATCCAGTGGAAGTACTGCGACATTCCCCTCTGCCAAGACCCCAGTAGAATCCTTTACCAGATCACTTTTCCGCCAGTCAGCTTTGCAAATTCGTATATTTAAATTGCAGATCCGCCGGAATGCAAGCTAACGAGGCAGGGAGGAGAATACGTCGGGAAGCGGAACGCGACCCTCTCGGGGTTCCCCTGCCAGCATTGGCTCGCTTCCACTCCCAACAAGCATCTAGCGATAAAGAAACAACTTTCTGCGTTCCCGGATGAAGTGGACGGGAGCCACAACTTCTGTCGCAACCCGGACGGGATCTTCCACGGTCCGTGGTGCTTCATCGGCTCGAACGCCGAGCGCATCTGGGAGTACTGCGCAGTGCCCTTTTGTCCCAGAAGCGATGGAGAAAATTGTAGCATTCGGGTCTAGGGGAAATGCATCAGGGAGATTCATTTGTCTCTTCTTGCGTATCTATTGTCGCTAGGACCGTTGTTCAGCGAAGCATTATCAAACTTTAGTCTCTCTCAATGCATTCCGTTTCATGTATCACTTTTTTCCCCACAGGGCCCGAGAAATGTCGATCCACTTGGTTAGGGGAATATTACAGGGGAACGAAGAACACGACGAAATCGGGCTACCCCTGTCAGCCCTGGCTGAGCCACTCCCCCCACAGACAAGACCTTTTTCGCTTCTACGATCGAAACGGCCACATTTTCCCGGACGACTTGCACTCCTTTCACAACTTCTGTCGGAACCCAAACTCGAGACTCTGAAGTCCTTGGTGCTGGAATGGAGCAGGAAACGATCCCGAATGGGAATATTGCGATGTTCCCAGCTGCCAAAAGCTTTGACGTTGACAAGAAATATTGCGAATTTTTTTCCCTTCGTCTCTCCCGCAAGAATAGCGATGTAAATTGTTGTAGGTATCGTTAGGAAATTCGTTTAAGCGATTCGCTTCTTCATGGTGGGCACTACTACCTGCACGTTCGTCGCACCCCATCAGAAATCAGAAATCCTTGAACCTATAATGATCGCGGATTCTTGTACTGGAAAACTCGATGACAACATTCCGATTTCAACATTTGTGGCTAAATGTATGACTCTAAGAGGCGATTACATTGAACCTTCATTCCTCATTCCCGTTTTCCGTTGAACATTGCTATTAATATTGGAGGTCGTATAAGCTTTACATGCTGACATCCTCATCCTCGAGTGGCTAAACGGGTTATTTGTCCTGGGTGCCATTTGCCCATTGGCCCATTGGCCCATTGGCTGTCCGCAATGGAACGGAATGAAATTTGGGAGCGGCGGTGCCGATGTTGGTTTCATTTAGCGGTCCAGTCTTTTGCCATTTTCGTGGTTGCGTTTAGCAAAATGTTGGATGTTTTCGCCAAAGCCATCTATCGACGTAAGTGTCTCCTTTTCTGATTTCCTTTTGTTTCTTTGCCCTCATCACTCCTCATCAAATTTCCCTGAGAAGAAATGCATTCCCTCGAATTGAATGAGCCATTTTTCGAATAGCTTTTACGTGAGATGATGAAAAAATTTTAAGACTCATTCACTTCCAGTGGCAATTCACTATTATTGATCTTACGAGAATACAGAAGTCTTTGATGGTGACTGGCAAAATGTCATCGTATTTGTTAATTAAGGATGGCTTTCACGAATTTGTTTTTTTTTTAATTTTTTAATTTGCCTTGTCAGTGTCCACTGAATTGCACTAATAATTCAAGCTAATGCTCTGATGAATTTCCTAACCTCAAAAATGAAAGGAATCTTTCTTCCAGCAGGTCTTATCCACCATTAAAACGAAAAATATTTCCTAGGTGTCAAACTATTAAGATTTCTCCGAGAACAATGATTGAGCAATTCTAGCAGAAAAGAGATGGCGAACGAATGAATGAAAAGAGATGGAGAATTAATCTTCGTCTTTGCGGATCATCCCCGACGAGGACATGGACTTCTCAGGAATGCTCCCGCATACATTTTCCTTTTGGCTCATCAATCTTGAGCTCATTCGCCATAAGGATTCAGCCAATGGTTCATTTCTCGGTTGAGATCGATCTTACTACTCCGATGACGTCAGTAGGTACCATTATACCCGTCGCGAAATGGTTTTGACATGCTTCTTTGCAGCGAATGTCTTTGCATCTCTATTAATAATTTCTTGGTCTACGGAGAAGTAGCAGGGCTTTGGATAAGAGTAACTGTGACGTTGGGTGGATTCGAGAGGAAGAGGCAGGCTCATCATGGAATCGGTTCCATGATGGATACATGATGGCTAAATGGATCCGAGAATCCTAATCCCTAGATTAGGATTGCTGTGATTGCTCTGTGATTGCTCTAGTTAGAGACACATCCTAATGTGTCTCTAACTAGAGCAATCACAGACATGATTGTAGGAAGAAGGTCATTAAATACTTATACCTGTAAATAAGGAGCACCTTCCCTCATTAGTCGAATCCTAAGAGTCGTCCGGATACTCGACATTTCATTCCACAGAATCATGACCCAAAAGTTCTCTGCCGTTCTTTTGTGAATGTGCTCTAGGGCACCATTTCTTCTGGAGTGTCCCCCGAATCTCCTACTTTCAGACAACACCAAAATGTCGGTTTGTGCGGTAGGCCAGAAGCGAATAAAATTGGAGTTCTGTGATCTACATGAGTGAACATTGAAACGGTGCCTTCAGAAAGATGCCTTAATTCTATGGTACTTATTTCTCAACCTTCCGAAGGCATTTTTCGAAAGATCCCCCACTCGAATACTTCTGTTGCTGAGGTGAAAGATGGCACCTTTTTTTATCCTAGTTCTTCGCACAGTTACGAATCAGCTTCTACTTCTCCGGCAAATGATCAACCAGGAAATTTGCTGGACATTTCCAATAATTTCCCTGATGAATCGCCATCATTCCCAAACGAATTTCTTGGATGCAGAAATGAGTCAGGGCTTCCTGAATTCATTGAGCCTGGAGACCTAGATCAAGACACTAACATTTGTTGTTTCCTTGA